AGCTAATTCTTCTGAAGTCCGAAGGCTTGTGGCTTGCAGATTGGAGCCCTCAGCCCCAAAGGAGCTTTTAATTGGAAAAACATTGGCACAGAATCAGGGAGCAAAAATACCTGCTTTAGCCATGTGCAGCTGGGAGTGGTATGTAGGAATTTCTCCTTTGAGTTTTTACTATCTTGGTTTTATTTTATAAGTAGGATTGAGAGAAGAGCATCTTCTAGTTTCCAATTGGTTGAAACCCATTGCCAAACCATGGTATATCCTTTCAGTGTAGCCCTAAGAATTTCTCTTTAAGAAATGAAGAACTTTCCAGAATCACAACCAGATTCTTAACTTGTTGCTCTTTTGGTTTTGTGGATAACATATTCTACCTCCATGAAGGGTTTTTGATTTTGCCCCCTTAGTCACAGCTCCCGAATATTCTRTTAATCTGCCCTAAACACTTCTAGTCTTTTGGTGGCATATCAAGATATGCACCGAGTGTTACACCCCAAAGTATTCTCTTACTATATAAAACTATATAAACAGAGTAACTCAGTGATTTTTAAAAATCCATCTTTACTAGTTTCACTTAAAAGACACACAAATATAGAGGGTTTTTTGTTTGTTTGTTTGTTTTTTAACCTGGGGATTGAACAACTGAGGGGCACTTGCCCACTGAGCCGCATCCTCAGCCCTATTTCCTATTTTATTTAGAGACAGGGTCTCACTGAGTTGCTTAGCACCTTGATTTTGCTGAGGCTGGCTTTGAACTCCTGTCTCAGCCTCCTGCCACTGGGATTACAGGTCTTTACACCGCTTTTATCCAGAGCTGCCTTTTAATTACTTTTGCTAATGACTCTAGTCCTGAGCAAGCTGCAGGTCATCCAGAGGCCCACAGGGGGCAGCACTAGGAATGACCCCACCCCCACCCCACCGCCTACAGTCCTAAGTGTGCAGAGGGAGAGGGTTCTGGAAGACAGTGTTTTTCATCAGGTTTCAGAAGCCCTTTATAGAGATTGAAGACACATTTGCAGCAGCCTCATTTGTTAATTTTATGGTGTTTTCAGCTGTTCTGAGCAGAACATTCTAGTTTTCTTGATCATAAAAACATGCATGAAAACTTGTCCTACAAACCAGTCTGCCTGTACACCATTTCCAGGCACCATTAGCATTTGAGGTGAAGTTCTGTTATACACTCAGGCTGTGGCTCTCTGAAAGTCAGTGCATCACAGAACTTTGTCTCGAAAGCTTTCTAGCAGCTACCCATTTGGGGAGTGGGATGGAAGAATAGACCTTTTAAGTCCTTTGAATATGGGCCTAAGCTTGTAGGATCTTTCTTAACAACAGCATTTAATATGCTACAAGGTCAAGCCTAGTGCATTGTCTAGGAAGCCCATTTCTCAGTAGCTGGGAGTTATTTATAAACTTGCCCTTTGCTAAAACTTAAAATGAAATTACATTATCAGTAATGGCTTCTGGGGCCTTTAAACTGGTTGGTTTTATGGCATGAGGGGAACTCCTGGCCCTCCCCACTCCTGAGAGGTAAAGGCCCCGGGCTGAAGTGGAACCAGCTGCAGTCAGGAGGTGGCAGGAGAAGTAAAGAAGCTGCTGCTGCTGGCTCCAGCAGTAGTAGAATAGAAATGTCAAGCAGCATTGAAGTTCTAATGCATTTCTAGCTATTTTTAGTGTGATTCTTCTTTGGAAGTTTGAACTAGCCAGCTTTTCTGTCATGCCTTCTTTCTTCTTCCAGAGCTCTAATACATTGAATCTGGACCTTGTCTGTGCCTTCCTCAGCCAATCTTTATCCTGCCCGGGAAGACCCAGTATCTCTGTTTTAAGCAGGTATTCTAGGAAGCCAGTGAAAAGAGCAGAAACAGAATCCAGGGAATGTTCTTCTCTCTTTGCCAGCATAACTGTTTAGGCACTGATACTACTTTGGCCACAAGAACATTGACTTTCACAGTTGGGCTGTGGCTAATAGGGCTTTTCTTTTCTTTGTATTCCTGTACCTTCTAAGTATACCAGATTCTGTGCCTGCAAGAACCAGTCACCTATGCCTGAATAAGGTCCAGGTTAAACTAGTGGGCTTTTCTCTAAGTTGCAGTGAATGGATAGAGGGACAAAGCCAAGGATCTTCAGGGAAAATGGTTGCAGGAAAAAATGATTTCTTCTAAATTTCCTTCTTTTGGACTTCTTTGTTTCCATTAAGGAAACTCATTTCACTGAGTGTGGTGGTACATGTCTGAAAACCCAGCTGCTCTGGAGAYTGAGGCAGGAAGATAGCAGRTTTGAGGCCAGCCTGGGCATCTTAGTGAGACCCTGTCTCAAAATATGAGAAAAATAAAAAGGTCTAGGGATGTACCTCTGTGGTACAATGCTCCTGGGTTATATCCCTGGTACTGAGAGGGGAAAATAAAGAAAAACACTGGTTGCAGTGGCACACACCTGTAATCCCGGTGACTCAAGAGGCTGAGGCAGGAGGATCGAAAGTTTGAGACCAACCCCAGCAACTTAGTGAGGCCCTAAAGACTTAGCAATACCCTGTCTCAAAATAAAAAATCAAAAGGATTAGGATGTGGCTCAGCGGTTAAATGCCCCTGGGTTCAATCCCTGGTACCAAAAAAAGAAAAAAGAAAGAAGGAAACTCATTCTCAATTCACTGACAGGGAAATCCTTTAGTGTCTCCCTCTTGGTGAATCTAGGAGCTAAGTTGCTATGGAACAGAGGCTGCATTATGGGGAAATCTTTGTATGGGAAGATCTTTGAGGAGCTAGGTAGGAGTTAGGAAAGCTGCTTCTCTTAATTTAGACTGTAGAGGACTTTCCTCTGCTAAACAACAGTTTCCTGGTTGGAGACAGAAGTTCCTTCTACCTTGTTTATTCCAGAGTGCAGTTTGTGGGGGGCAGCTCTAAGGATTGCTTGTCAGAGGAGAGGTAAGGTCAGTAGTAATATCACCCCAAATGGTCACAGAAGAAAAATCCACTTATATGCGGAAATCTAATTATAAGAATTCCATTAGAGCTGGGGTTGTAGCTTAGTGGTGGAGTGCTTGCCTCACATGTGTGAGGCACTGAGTTCCATTCTCAGCATCATATACAAATAAATAAATAAAGGTCCATTGACAACTTAAAATATATTTTTAAAACTTCTCTTAGATGCTCACTACATCATGAAAATTTGTTTTCGGGCTGGGGATATAGCTCAGTTGGTAGAGTGCTTGCCTTGCATGCGGAAGCTCTGGGTTCCATCCCCAGCACAACCAAAAAAAAAAAAAATCAAAATTATTTTCTCCATGATTGAACAAATCCTGAGTTTAGTATATGTCAGGCATTGTTCTGGACACTCAGATAAATCAGTGAACAAAACCAAAAAAACAAATTGCTGTCCTCAAGAATTCAAGTTGTGAAAGTTGTCATTTCTTATCACCCTTTACTCCCGTTCTTAGCCTCCCTTCCCTCTCCTGAGCTCTGTTGGTTTTTCACGGGGACACCTACACCTCCTGGACCCTCATGAGCCAGTTGACCTTTGTAGAACGCATAGTTTCTGAATCCTTGGGTATAATTTTTTTTCTCCTCATCCTTGGGTCTTTGTTCAACATGTCCTTAGAGAATGTGTTGGAGGACTAGGGGTTTGCTTAGTAAGACCAGGAAAGGAGCAAAACAACAGCCTCATTTCATAGCGCAGGGATCCCAGTGGTAAGTAGTGTTGATTGCCAAGTCAAGGAATGTGCCCTAGCAAATGCCTTCTGTACAGGTACCACTTCTTTCCCTGTCCTCCCCCTTTCCCCTCCCCTAGTAAGCTGATTAGAAGAGAGTGACCCYGGCCACTGCGGCTTTTTGTCTTTCTGTGCTCTCTTCACTGAACTGCAACAGCTGCAACCAGCCCACCACTGAGCTTTTGCAAAGAGGTATATTTGCAGTTGATGAAGGGAATTAAATGTAACCCTTTAGACTGAGGTTGGGATACCCTTATGAGAGCCAATATTCTTTTTTATTTTTCAGTGCTGGGSATGGAACCCAGGACCTCAGGCAGGCTAAGCACATTTTCTACCACTGAGCTCATAATCCCCAGCCCCTCCGTTTGATTCTTTTTATTTTTTTTTTAAAGAGAGAGTGAGAGAGGAGAGAGAGAGAGAGAATTTTTAATATTTATTTTTTTTAGTTCTCGGCAGACACAACATCTTTGTTGGTATGTGGTACTGAGGATCGAACCCGGGTCGCACACATGCAAGGCGAGCGCGCTACMGCTTGAGCCACATCCCCAGCCTCGGTTTGATTCTTGATAGTGAAAGAAAACTCCCCTCTTGCTTACTTCCTCCAGTCCCCAGGGTGTTTCTCAAATCTTCTTACAACCCCCAAAATTCAGATTGGTTTTTGTCTTAGCAAGTTAAGTGGTAGTGACTAGGATATAGTGGGGGAATTGGGCTTGGTAGGAGAGTTTTGGGGCCGTGTCTGTCTCTCTGGGCTGCGTTCAGAATTGGTGTGTGTGTGCGCACGTGCATGCACATAAACACTTATTTTCTTCTATTCAGTGTGTGGGTGGTTTAGGGAAGGCTTGCTTTATGCCTCTGCATTGCTACTGCATTGGGACTGCAGACACTTCCAAGTGTACTAGGGCATTCAATCCTATTTTCAGATGGCCTCATGCAATGCCTAATAATTAATCTGSTCACATTCCATACCCACCTGTGTGGGAGACCAGGGAGGGATGGTAATTTGGAAAATAACTGTACCACAGTGTTTGGAAATAACAGCATGACCTACCTTGACTGAGTTCTCTGTGAGTCAGACGCTTCCTCTGTCGCTGCCTTGGAGTCCTTTGTTGAAATGCTCCCTCCCCCAGGTCATTCACTGCTTGATCATTCTCAGTGGGAAATGTCAAAATCTAACTGTATCAGGGAAGGGGACATATAGAGTCACCTCTGTAACCCCTTACAGCCCCAGTGTGACTAGGGAAAGTTATCTGGGGTGCCAGTGGTGATGGGAGCCTTCAGGACTGAAGATGTGTTCGTATCTCCTCAGGAACCCTCCCTGTATACTGTCAAAGCCATCCTGATTCTGGATAATGATGGAGACCGACTTTTTGCCAAGGTGAGATTCCCTTTCAAATTAGTTTAGGAGCAGGACAAAGACATTGTGAGCTTGGAATCTTGAGACTGGCCCTACTAACTCATATTCTTTGATAGTGATAGTATCATTTTGAGAATCTTCCATCTCCCTTTGACATCTCCAGATAAAACCTCAGTTTTCTTTGGTCTCTAGCTACACTGCTTTCCTACTTGCTGTCCTCAGACTTTGACCTCCACTGTTACCCGCATCAGGGGAGAAGCATTGGAACATTGGTTCCTGATCAAAGCAGTATCTAGATGTTAGAATCACTCTACCCCTGTACATCATTCCTACCTCCTTCCCTCCCACCCTGTCATCTGCTTGGATTTACCCAGGGGATTGTTTTGTGGTTTCAACTCTAGATTTACAGGACTCACCAAGCTTCTTACCTCTTTGCCTTCCCAGTATGATGTTTTTAACTTTGGATCTTTTGAAAGAGAGGAGAAAGGACACCCCTCTCTTCCCTCCATATTCTCCCCCTCCTGTAGAAATTTCTTCTGTCCCTGGTGTATTAACTCCAGGCGAGCATAGCATAAATCAATCAGCAGGTAGAGATTAGTTTAGAATTCACCAGCTGTTCCTCCCTGTAATTGGATGTAACTATGCAGGACACCTTTTGAAACAGTTATCCAGTTACTAAATGCCAGACCTGTCATAGGTCTTCAGCTGACTGCAACGGATTAGCCCCTAAAGAGCAGAACGATTTAGCAGCCTGCATCTCCACCCCCTTGCCAGGGAGAGCCTGGGAATAGGTTCAGCAATGTGCTAGACTGCCCCCTGCTTCTCTTAGTTTGCAGAAAGGAAAGCTGAGWCTTGAGAGACCACAGGGCAGGGCTCACCATGCTGTGGAGGAGGGTTTTACAGTCTTTCCTCTTTCCTCAGCTTCATACAGTGAGGGAGTGTCTGAGGAAGGGTCTGAGGAAGAGTTCTGCCTTCTAGTCTTTGTTTTCTCTGGCATGGCTGCCTGACAGGGCAGCTCCCCAGAAGCACTTGGTGGGAACCGTCTTAGGAGAGCTCTCCTAAAATGCAGATAGAAGCAGGGCCTCATCTCCAGGTGTGGTGGCACACACTTTTAATTTCAGTGACTCAGGAGGCCAAGGCAGGAGGATCACAAATTTGAGGCCAGTCTTACCAATTTAGTGAGGCCATAAGCAACTTAGTGAGACCCTATCTCAAAATAAAAACATAAAAGGGCTGCGGATGTTACTCAGTGGTTAAGTGCCCCTGGGTTCAATCCCTGGTACAAAACAAACAAACAAAAAACGCAGGCCTCATTATAGGTCTGGTAGACCTTTGCCCACCGTTTTTAGAAATGTGAAGTGGGATTGCTTATTGCAGGGTTCTTTAATTCTTTCTTTAAATTTGATTACTCACTGCTCATTCTCTGCCTCAGTAGCCCTTCCTTCTCCATGTCATTATTTCTCCCTCACCCTCTGCCTTGAAGGAGAGAAATCCAAGATCCCAGGGCGAGCATAGTCACTAATCATTCTGGGCTCCCAGCTCTAATGACCCAACCCTGTCTCCTTTCCCTYTGACCAGTACTATGACGACACCTACCCCAGTGTCAAGGAGCAAAAGGCCTTTGAAAAGAATATTTTCAACAAGACCCATCGGACTGACAGTAGGTCATTTTCCTTTCACTACTCCCTCTGTTGGGGGCGAACCACGGTGGGAAGGGGGTGGCAGCAGGACTGCAGAAAAAGGATAAAATGACTGCCTCCTTTTTCTTTTTCACCTCCTCCCCTCATATAATAAACTCTTCAGAAATGTAATGGGGAGGTGAGTGTACCTCACGCGGGAATACCGTGCTGGAAGGTTGGCTGTTAGCTACCTGTCTAGTCCTTGGATTTATGAGCCTCACTTGACAAATTTAACTGCAGCTCTGCTTATTGTACCGCATCCATTAGGGCAGGTAAATGGAAGTCTGTAAAGGTGACCGCTCTGCATTTTCACCTCCGAAGGATCGACTAGTATCCTGTCTCATATACAAGGAGGGAAATAAGTGTAGTGGGTAGGAGTGGGGGAGGGAGGTTAGAGAGAAGATACAATTTAGAGTCCCCTGGTTTAAATTTCYCTTCTGATACCACTCCAAAACAATAGGTCAGTTTAAGTCTGGARGTCATTAGAGCCTGCCTTACCTTGGCCCCAAACAACTTTATACCAGGAGTTCAGGTAACTCCTATTCTACTTCTTCATCTCAGGGCACTCCCTGTTTCCGCCTTTCTCCCCCCAGGTGAAATTGCCCTCTTGGAAGGCCTGACGGTGGTGTATAAAAGCAGTATCGATCTCTATTTCTATGTGATTGGCAGCTCCTATGAAAATGAGGTGAGAATCCCCAGTCCTTTTTATTATCTTTGATGCACTTCCTAAACCACAGGCAGGACGTAGCCGCATGTTTTGGGCTTAGGAGAGCCACATTCCTCTGGCTTCTGACAGGACTAACCAAGGGGTCAGAGATCTCCACCATGGCTCCACAAATGAATCTGCCTAGAAAGGAAGTTTTCCCACTTTCTTATTTCCATATAGAAGGCACAGTGTGTGTGTATATGTGTGTGTGTGTGTGTGTGTGTGTGTGTGTGTGTGTGTGTGTATATTATAGGTTTTAATATCCTTCCCTCACACAGTGTTTTTTAAGATGGATTTCTGAGATTCTGAGATATGGTCAAGGTTAGGGTTGGGACGCTGGGTCCTCTGTGAATGGTGCATACCCAACTGAGCTTGAGCTAGGAACAGATATTCTGGGTCGTGCTGAAGCTATACAGTATGAATGGGTCATTGGATGAAGTCATACAGTGTGAATGGGACTATGGGTAAGATCCTAGCCTGCTTCCTATACGCAGGAAAAACCATTTATGTCAAGTAATAGCAACTTCCATAAGAGTAGATAAGTAAGGGCTGGGGTTGTGGCTCAGTGGTAGAGCACTTGACTTGCACTTGTGAGGYACTGGGTTTGATCCTTAATACCACATAAAATAAAGATATTGTGTCCACCTAAAAAAAGTAAAAAATAAATATTTTGGGGGAAAAGGATAGGTAAAAATAAGTCCCCAGATAATTTTAGCAAAAGTCAAAGTTTGAGAGACATGGARGGCTAGGATTGTGGCTCAGTGGTAGAGCGCTCACCTAGCACATGTGAGGTCCTGGGTTTGATTCTCAGCACCTCATAAAAATAAATAGATTAAAAAAAAAAGTTTGAGAGATGCACCCCTTACCAAGCTCTTATTGCTGCAAGTGCTTTGTTAAGTACATTGTTATTTAAACCTTACAGTGCTTCTGTGAGTCGTAGTCATCAGTGCCTTTGTTTTACCAATGAGGAAACCAAACTATGAGGAACCATAAAATTATTTGTTTGTGGCCATTGTCAAACTACAAAAGTGGCAGTTTCATATGGTTTAACGAAATAATTCTGTCAGGGTCATATGTATAGGAAATGGTTCAGCCGGGGTTTAAACCCAGTTCTGTCTGACTTAAAAGCCCGTGCTTGGGCTGAGGGTACACTCATTTGGTGGAGTGTGCACTAAGCATGCTCAGGGCCCTGGATTGGATTCCCAGCACCATAGGGGCAAAAAGAAGGACATGCTCTTTCCACTAACCATGCTGTCTTTCTCTGACCTTAGCAGTGATTTTTCTCTGTACTTAAGACATCAGATAACACATATACAATTAGTAAAGATATGTGGAGGACTTGGGCTGTGGCTCAGTGGTAGAGTGCCTGCTTAGCATGTGTGAGGCACTGGGTTCAATCCTTAGCACCACATAAAAAAAAATACATAAATAAGATAAAGTTATTTTTTAAAAAAAGATATGTGGAGGACTACAACAAGAAAGTTCTATTTAAACTTTGGCTAAAGAGGCCTCAAATTGTGGAATGGTATGGCAGAATTCACTCCTGTGAGAAACCATATGTCCTCTTCCTGTGTTGTATTCACTTCTACCTTATGTTTCTGGTCCTTTTAGAAAGCCCATGTATTTTGATGGTTAATGAATTGGAGGGTTTTGCCTTTGGGGAGCAGTTTGTAGGGCCCTGATCCTTCTCTTTCTCCCTCTGTCTCTCAACAGTTGATGCTTATGGCTGTTCTGAATTGCCTCTTTGACTCCTTGAGCCAGATGCTGAGGTAAGCAGCCATTCTTACTGTTGGTTTGGGAGAGAAAGTAACTATTCTTCAGGCCCAAGGATTTGAGGGGGATCAGCAGAAGCTCCAGGGACTCGATTTAGTTTAAGAAGTGGGCTTATTATTTCAGAGTAACTCACACTGAGGGGGAGGACTGGATGAGAGCATGTCCCTCCCATTCTCCTGAGGATGGGGATTCTCCTACTGGTCCCCAGTGGCTCTGTCAGAGTTCTCAGCCCCTCCTGATGCTTCATTCTCYGAGGCTCTGAGGCGTCATTCTTTGCATTAGAAGCAGGCAAAGGGCAAGCATAAGGAAGTATCCCATGTGAAACATCCATACCTTGGGAATGGAGGCGGCACTCCCAAGTTTCCACCTCTAGCCCTTAATTTTCCCCCTCTGTAGTACAGGAATAATGTGCTCTTTACCCTCTCCTCCCTTTCCATCTCCTCACTAGTCCTCTGTTCTCCATGTCGATGGGCAAGAGAAGAGACATAAGATACTTTTCCTGAAAACACCCAGGGCTCTGAACTTCATTCCCCCAGCAGYTCCCAAGTGAACCCAGTACAGACAGCATCCGGAACAGAACAGCAGGCGCTCTCAGCCCCGCAAAATCAGCAGGGCAAATGGCTCAGGTTTCCTCAGGAAGGGGATGATTTATTTTTCAGCCAGGTGAATGAATAGACTTCATTTCGGGTAATCTAGTGAAAGAGTCAAACTAACGGATGTGACAGGCCACATGCACCAACCACCGGATYTGCAGCTGGTGGATATGGGCCCTGATTGTTCTTAGCCCCCTTGTTGGGATTCTTTTCTGAGCCTAAGCAGAGCTGGTAAAGGAGGGGGGAGGACTGGATGCAGAGCGAGCTGTAGGAGGTTTGTCAGAGCTTGAGTGCAGATAGGGTTTGTATTCAACCCCTTCCCACCTCCCACCACCTCCAGATTTTTAGCTGTGTTTGTTTCCTTTTTTCCTACCTACTGATGTCTGTGTTTATAAGCAATGTCATGAACAACATCATAGTAGGAAAACATCACGTAGGAAAAAAATTATATATCTAAGCTGGTCTCAGTGGCTTGTGCCGGTAATCCCAGCAACTCAGGAGGCTGAGGCTGAAGTATTTCAGGTTCAAGTCAGCCTTGGCAATTTAGTGAGACCAGGGCTTGGCACAGCAGTTCCAGAGACAGAGGCAGGAGGATCGTGGGTTCAAAGCCAGCCTCAGCAAAAGCAAGGCACTAAGCAACTCAGCAAGACCCTGTCTCTAAATAAAATACAGTAAAGGACTGGGGATGTGGCTCAGTGGTAAAGTGCCTCTGAGTTCAATCCTCAATACCAAAAAAGAAAAGAAAAGAAAGAAACAATAGCTCTGGATAATCAGCCTATATATTCACACTCTTTTTTGACATTCCTGATCCTTACTCAGCATACAAAAATAGGAAAAGGGTTAGAGGAAATTAGGTTGGCTAAAAAGTTCTTCATCTTATTCACCTCTTTATGTGCTTGTTGGACATATTTATTAGTATAGTTTGGGATCCCTATCCAGACAATGTCCTAGGATTCTATCACACAGGACTGGTTTTTCTCTTCTTTGGGGGATTCAGGAAAAATGTAGAAAAACGAGCTCTGCTGGAGAACATGGAGGGGCTCTTCTTGGCTGTGGATGAAATCGTAGATGGAGGGTGAGTTCTCTGACCTGCCTGGATCTGGGATGGTTGGGTAGCTGCCCTTCTTCTAAGTCAAGTGGGTTAAGTGGTCAGAATTCTGTCCCCAAGTACGTTGGTCCACTAGGACAGAGTGAACATGCCAGGAATCCTGGTGTACTTCCCAGCTACTCAGGAGACAGGCAGGAGTGCAGGTTCAAGAGCAGCCTTAGGCTGGGCAATGTGGCACATGCCTGTAATCCTAGCGGCTCAGGGGACTGAGGCAGGAGGATTGAGAGTTCAAAACCAGCCTCAGCAACAACAAGGCGCTAAGCAACTCAATGAGACCCTGTCTCTAAATAAAATACAAAATAGGGTGGGGATGTGGCTCTGTGGTTGAGTGCCCCTGTGTTCAATCCCTGGTACCGAAAAAAAAAAAAAAAAAAAAAAAGCAGCCTTGGAACTCAGACCTTGTTTCAAAAGTAAAAAATAAAAAGGGCTGAGAGGGGACTGGGGATATAGCTCAGCGGATAGAGTGCTTGCCTCRCATGCACTAAGGCCCTGGGTTCAATCCCCAACACCATACACATTCATAAAAGGGCTGGGAGGCCTGGTGTGCTGGCACATGCCTATATTCTAGTGACTCAGGAGATGGAGGCAGGAGGATTGACAGTTCAAGGCCAGTGCTGGAAATCTCTCTCAAAATTAAAAAGAAAGAAGGGCTGGGGATGTAGCTCATGGTAGAGCACCCCTGGGTTCAATCACAACACATATCCCAAAGTGAACAGTGGTCTCTTTTTTGTCTCTGTAGGGTGATACTAGAGAGTGATCCCCAGCAAGTTGTACACCGGGTGGCATTAAGGGTAAGCAGCAGCAATGTATTTTCCTGTTACCCACCTCCCATGAATCTATCCACAAACACCCTCCAGAGCCAGACCAATCGAATGTGTCTAAGGGTCTGGGCTGATAGCATACATACAACTTTTGTCCCTCCTTCCTATCTTAGGAAGGAAGGGAAGCAAAGGAACTTATTTCTTCCCCTAACATGATACCTAGCATCTCATGTTTTCTTTGTACAAAGTAAACATTTAATGTATTTGAATGAATGATAAAATAAAAGAAACTTTAATATTCATGGTTCTGAAACTTGAGGTTGACTTATTTCCTCTTTGAAGATAGATCTGAGACAGAGGAGTGTCTTTCTTGCCTTTTAAAGTCTTATGTAACAAGGTGTGGTGGCTCATGCCTGTAATTCCGGTGGCTTGGGAGCTGAGGCAGGAGAACCACAAGTTTGAGGCCAGCCTCAATTATTTAGCAAGGCCCTAAGCAACTTGGCAAAGCCCTGTCTCAAAATAAAAAATCGAAAGGGCTGGGGATCCCCTGGGTTCAATTCCTGTGAGCCCCCTYCCCCCCMAAAAAAAAACACCATTAAAGTCTTAACATAACTGAGAGTACTACCTCTCCATCAAGAAGTACTTATTTACCGGGCATAGTGGTGCATGCCTATAATCCCAGTGGCTCAGGAGGCTGAGGCAGGAGGATCTCAAGTTCAAAGCCAGTCTCAGCAAGGCCCTAAGCAACTCAATAATACCCTATCTCAAAAAATAAAAAGGGCTAGGGCTGTGGCTCAGTGGCTAAGCACCCCTGGGTTCAATCCCCATTACCAAAAAACGGTTCTGTTCACCAGAACCTCAGTCCTCTTTGGTACTAGTGATATCAGAAAGGGGCCTCTGAGTCCGCTACAAAAGGCTGCAAGTCTGCTATGGGGACCATGGTGGGTAGGAGAGCCCACCTGCAAATTGAGGGGGTGCTATGATGTCTGAACAAAGCAAATCTCCCCATTCACAGAATGTCCCAGCTCTGACCTCCATAGAGTGAAGGCTGACAGTGCCGGGTAATGGGAAATCTTCTCCCTTAACTGCCGTGGGCTCCATTTGCATAGTTTAATCTTCTCCTCTAACATATGTCTCTATGTGGCAAGAGARAGGGTCCCCCACCACCGACTCCCCCCTTCCCCTTCTCAGGCTGCTGTTGCAGCAGTTTATTTCTTCAAATTAACATGCTGTCGTTACCCATCAGGCCTTGCGGGATCCATTAAACTATCCCTGGCTCCCCCTCATCCTTTCCCCAGCGACATTGATATTCAGGGAAGGTCTTCTCTGACTAGGGAATCAGGTCCCCACCCCCCAAGTTGAGGGAGTTGAGGATCAGATAACCTGCTGATTACTCGAAATGGAATAAATCTTTTAAGAAGTCTTGCCTTAAAATGGAGGATGGATGAAATGACCCTTTTGTGTTTATGGTCCCTCTGGCCAAGTAAAATTGTGGCTGTACTAGAAGGGACTGAGAAGTTTAGGGCCCCTGCCTTTTGCTTCAGCTTAAAAGGCCACCTCGTCCTATCCACTGCCAGCCTCCAACCTAAATGCTTGTCTCTGTGCCACAGGGTGAAGATGTACCCTTAACGGAGCAGACCGTGTCTCAGGTATGACTCTCTCTCTTCCTCTCCAGATGGATGGGGTCACTAAAGAGGAATAGTAGTCTATCCCAGTTTGCCAAGTCTGATGAGACGGGAGTTCTTCCCTGGTTCCCTCTTATTCCAGAGAACTGAAACTCACACAGCCCTGTGCTCCCCACCCCCCTCCCAACTCTTCTCCCAGTTGCATGTGAGCAGTGGCTGTCAGCCCTCCTCAGTACCCTTCAAACCCTCCCTGTCTGATGCCTCATTCAGTGATTTATTCCCCAGCAGAGGCTTGCCTTAAGCAGATGGTCTGTGTGCGTGTGTGTGCACACTCTCTTTCTCTTATTATTCAAATGAAGGCTGGAAATGCATATTCTAGGATATACAAGTTTTGCAGATCCATCCTGCTACCTTGACTGCAGATAGATTGTCTACCTGATTCAGGGGCCAAGGGAGGGGTTGTTTTTTACCCACTTGAAATCCTCACTAAGGAGTTCATCTGGATGTATGACCTCTTCTTTTTAACATATGTACAGTAACCCCCAGTTTTTTTCTTTCTTCCCAGGTATACCTCTTCTCTCTTCATCCTCCCAGTGGATTTGAATTTTGGGGGAATTTCCCAAACTGACAATCCTCTAGGGCCTTAGAGACTTCTTCCTATTCCTCTACCTTTGGGGATTTTCTATTCCTCATTCTTCTAAGGACAGGGAAGGCAAGTGAGGAGAAGGAGAGCCCCCCCCCTTCCCACCCTGCCCCTCAGCAAGTCTCCCTCAGTGCTGCCCTTGTCTCTGCAGGTGCTTCAGTCAGCTAAAGAACAGATCAAGTGGTCACTCCTCCGGTGAAGACCCCATGCCTGGCTCTTCGCCCCCCTCAAAACTCTGCATGTCTGCTGTGATTTCTCATCCAGGCCCAAACCGGTGCTCTCAGGGTCATCTCCAGGATTATAAGGGATCCTTAAATCTCCATCCTGTCTGGGGTTGCCCCCTCCCCCAGTATACTTCTCTCTCCTCAGTCTTGCTAGGAGTAAAGCTCCAAGCAGATTTGGATGCAGGGCAGAGGAAACATCCTCTTTCCTTCTAGACTGGATTTTGGTCCATGCTCTCCTACCCCCATATTTTCTCTACTCCTTTGCCCTTCGCTGTAGCTACACTCCAGATCAAAGCAGGAGAAAGAATGTGCTGAATGTTTTCTTCCCTTTGCCTTTACTAGGCCTTGTCCCAACAGCCCATATGTCCAGCAAGGGTAGAGGTAGGAGGGGAATTCCTTTCCGTATTATGAGTGAGGTTGGGGATGGGCAGGGATGTGTCCAGTCTCAGTCTCAGCTCCACTTACTGGCCTCAGCCTTTTTCCCCCCATTTCTTCTTACTGCCCTGTCCTTTGCCTTGGAAAAGTGATTGGAGGCAGCTTTTAGGGAATGGAGCAGAGTGGCAAAAACAGTGAGTTAAATGTTATGGAGTGGGCTTATAAAGTTCATTCTCCACCCTGATCCTGGCATGCAGCTTTAAAACTGCTGTGGTCTGTGAGTGGTCATTCTGGGGAGGTCCATCTCTTGATCTGCAACATTAATTCTCCATCTTTACTACCCGTGGGCCTTTTACCTGGTTTATCCTCTCTGCCCCAGAGCAAAGCCAGTCCCTGGAACAAAATTCCATTCTAGTCTTGGAAAGAAGAGTTTTTGCTCAGAACTGGGGAAGGAGGGGGACTTTCAACTGGGCCCTTGAGGTGATTGGTCCCCTCAGCTCCCAACATGTATTTTCTCCTCTGCCTTGGGTCTGCAATYTGCTGCTTAACTCTGTTCTTCCTTTGCCTCAGCCTTACATGAAAGCAGTAGGTCTGGGCTCTTTCCCTCCCTATGTGGCCAGGAGAGGTCACTTTCCTTTGGGGTTTGGATTTCCCCAGGAGGATAAGAGAATGGATCATCCACTCTTGGGTCTAATTTTTCCCCTGACCCAAAAYTTCTTCCCCACAAAAAGATAACCTTCCTGAGACTTAAACATTCTGTCCCATCCACTAACTGCCAATACTCCAACACTGAAGTGGGGCAGACAACTGGGCATATTTGAGGGGCATCTTGGTGTAAGAGATGTACAGTCAGGAGATGGCCACCTTCCTATGCTGCTCTGTGTGACCAGGAATAAAACATTTCTTTTTCCAAACTGCCTTTGTGTGATGTTTCTGTTCCTCTTCCTCTCTTTTTGGCAGCTACTCCTATTCCTCCAGCCCCCTCCCACTCCCCATCTTATAATATTTCTTCCCTCCTACCTCAGAGACTCCCCAGCAACTCAACCCCCCCATCCCTAATTTACGGGGCTGTTTGCCTCCTTGGCATAGCTCCGTCCCCTCGCCTGGAAATTGGCGCCAGGGGTGGGGTGGGGATGGTATTTTCTCAGTGGGAGTCTCAGGGAACTGAGTTCTCCCCCCACCACCCCCAAAGCCAGCTGCCTGCTCCCGCCTCAGCCATTAGTAACCCAGAGACGCGCACCTGCGTGGGGGCTCTCCTCCAGCCCCTGCTCCCTTCCTGCACCTCCCACTCCTGCTCTGAAACGGCGCTGAGCGGGTTATTTATCGGAGCCAGCRCTGCTCCAGAAGGTCAGGACGGCGGTGTAAATAACCTCTTCTCGCCATTTCCCCGTCCCTCCAGAGCCTGCTCCCCTCCCCCTCCTCCACCTTTATTCGCACAAATGAATGTGGCTGGGCTGGCGCAGAGCCTGGCCCTGCATCTTAATGGGGCGGTGAGCTCACAAGATGGATTTAGCTGGGGGTTTTATGGTTGCCGCGGCGACAGGAGAATGCTTTGGTTTTCTTTCCCCCTTCCTCTGCAGGATTTTAAGGAGGGGGCAGTGTGGGGAGCCCTCCTCTCCACTGCAATTTAAGGGTCTCCTTCTCAGTCACCTCTACAGCTTATAAACTGGGCCTGCAATTCCAGGATTAAGCAAGAGAGATGGAAAGGATGAGGGGAGGAAGGTCCAAGAATGAGAAGAAGCCCTGCAGCACAGGACTTGCCTGCTTCCCTGTGGAAACCTAACAGTTAGCTCAGCAAGTGGGGGGCACCTGGGTGCAGGATTCCTCTCAGCAGATAGAAAAGAAGAAAGTTCATGTTCCATCATGTCACTCCTGCCTGTGGTCTTGCATTGAAAGCTGGAGTGCAGCAGGCAGAAGGGTCATTCTGTCTTTACCTGAGCTGTACATAAAGCAGTTACCAGACTTAGCATCCTTATCACCTGCTTTATCACCCAGCTTGGTCCTTGGGTAGGGGATGTGTCAGTGCTGGAGTTGGGGATTGGTGACCAGCGATGGTGTGGAGAGCTGAGTTCTATCCAGTCTCAAACTTGGAATTCTCTGAGCTTCAGTTTCTCTTGTCTTCTCTKTCCCAGTAGGAATGAAACTTTGGGTGCCAGGCCTACCCAGGATTCTGGTCAGCAATTTTCTTTCAGGACTCTGAGCAAACCATCCTCAGCACTGACTGGAGCAGAGACAGGGGAACATTGCATGATCTCCCTTGCTTTTTTTTTTTTTTTTTGGTCTGGTTGTGGGCCTCTGAATTTCTGTTTGTGAGCCTTTCCCTATTTCCCAGGGGACCCCAAGAGGCCCCTCCTCCCCTCTCCCGCTTCTTCCCCTTTGGCTGGGAAAGTGACTACAGCCTGAACAGTGCCAGACACCTGCTTGCCAGATGTGGCAATTCCCCACTCCTCCCCCCCCCATGTCTATCCTTTCCCCACCCCACTGAGCTCAGGCTGAGGGAGCCCCCCCATAGAGTGATTTACTGCAGCTTCTCTTCCTCAAGTGCCCCCCTCAGGCTCCTCTCCCTCCCCCTGGTACCCATGTCCCCCTCATTTCCCACCATTTCCTGCAGCCACCTTCCTGGTACAGCCTCTTCCCACTCCCACTGCAGGGGGCTGGGCTGTGTAACCCCAGGCTCCTGGCTCTTGGGCTGGAGAATGAATGGGTGGAGCAGAGGTGGTTGGCCTCTGTTGCACCCATGGGAGAGTACATCAGCAAGGCTGCTGAGGACAGCGGCAGCCAGAGCTGATGTCATTCTCACTAGGGGAGGAAGGGAGGTGGCAGAGGAGGAGGTTAGTGGAGAGGGAACCAGCACTTCAAGACTGTCTGCATAGGATAAAGAGGCCTTCTACAACTTCCTGGGCAGGCRAGAGCGTCCAGGACTGTGGCTGTATGGTGGACAGTGTGTTTTTGTTTGTCTGGCAGGGTCTCCAGACCTTGTCTCTGGATCTGTCTCACATGAGACAGTAGATGCTTCTCAGCTTCTTCCTCTCAGACTTCACAAAACCCTCTTAAGAGTCCTTGCCTTTCTCTCCTTACTGTTTGCCCTCTGTCAGTCTCTTGTCTCTCTAGTCACCTCCYGGCCTCCCCCTCCTCTACTTCCACACCATAGCAAAATCCAATGCTCTCAGACCTCCCATCACAGGAAGGACTTCTCAGAGCCTCTTTTCTCCTTCCCATCTCTCCTTGCAACCTGACTCCCAAAAGTCCTCCTACCCCAGCCAGAACAGGGTTCATGGGAGAACTGAGGTAGGGGAGATGGCTGGACTGAAGAGTGGCAGAGGCAGGCAAGACAGATGGAGAGTCTAAGGAACTGGAAGAGAGGAGAGGAGGGGTACAAGAAGACAGGAAGAACAACACAAGGAGGGAGGAAATGTGAGTAAGAGACAAAGAGGCAAAGGCTGAGAGCAAGAATAACCAACCAGGAGAGGGAGAGAAAGTAACACAAAGAAAGCAAGCAAGGCTGGGAACAGAGAAAAACTGAGAGACAGAGACAGGAAAGTCACAGCAAGACAAGACTGCTGGGGAGGGGCCAGGCTAGGGGTAGGCTGGCTCTCCTGGGCTCCCTCCTGCTGACAGGCCATAAATCCTGTGTGCCTGCGCATGTGCACGAAGCACATGTATATAGAGTAGGGGTCTGAGATGATTCCCACAACATTATTCTCCCATTTGTTTTAGCAGCCTCTTTCCTTGAGGCACCCCCATACCAACACCCGCAGTACCCCAGGAATCCTGAAGCTCCATTCTGAAGGTACTTTCACATCTCAGGGATCCTGACTTTCTCACTTGGAATGCAGGCCTGCCGGAATGCCTACCAATCCACAGAATCAAGAGGCCCCAGCCCCTTACTGCCCACCCCCAGGCCTGCCCACCAGCTGCTCCTGTCTGTCTTCTCCTCCCACTCTCCTTGTATCTCYCCCTCCTCCCTACTGACCCCTCCCCCAGCCTCTGACCCCCAGCCCGCCTGGGGTCTGGGTCAGAGGAGAGACAAAGACAGGATTTATCACCAGTATAGAGAAGCATACATAGGGCAATGGCTGACCTCCCTGTGATGGGAGGCTGGAAGGCTGGCTTCCAGTGGCTCCTGCTCACAGCCCCCAACTTTTGCTGTGCCAGTCTTGCTTGCACCCTGGTCTCTGAAGGCTGAAAACAGAGGATGACTCTGAGGTGATTTTTGGCCTATGAAGGAGAGCCTGGAAGGAGAGAAGAGATAAGATCCCTGTCTTAGGATTATTATTTTATGGATAAGGAGGAGGACTTAGAAACCAGAGACAATCRGGCACCAACTGTTTCTAGGACTAGGAAGAAATTCAGGTATAATACTGCAACAGATGGGATACAGAGGGGCTGCCCCCTAACATAGAGTCTTCTCCAGAACAGGCCCAGACTGCCAACAGGGAGAGAAGTGACAGTCCTGAAGGGTGGGAGATACAGCCCCATCTGAAAAAGAAGAATTAGAATTTGGCCACGGGCTACCAGCTTTAGCCCCTCTAAGACCTTTTTCCCTGAAATCCCCATCTCTTTCCTGAGAGGCATAAGGAGCAGCCAGGTACCCTGCTTCTACAGCAAATCCATGACTGGCCTGAAGTTACCTCCACTCAACAGATAGGGTGGGTGCTCAAGAGGGAACAGTATGATCCAGTAGTTTCTGAGAAACTACATTGTATATCTTCAGTGGAGGGCTCCCACAACTTCCCTAACTGCCCTTGGAGGCTGAGCACCAATCCCTCTAGAATCTCAGTGACAGGGGCTTTCACAAGCCTGACATAGAACATCCTACATCCTGCCCCATCCTACTGTCCTGGTAAAAATAGGGTGAAAAGAAGAGAAACCGAGGCAACCAGGAAGTTCCAATCTATAGTCTCTCACCACAATCCCATCAACCTGTCCTACATGGGTTCTGTTGAGGACAAATTTCCTCACATTCCTCTGCAAGCTGAAACCATTCTCTCAAAAAAAAAATAAATAAATAAAATAAACCCTGGATTGAACCCAGGGACATTTAACCACTGAGTCACATCCCTAGCCCTTTTTATTTTTTTATTTTGAGACAGGGTCTTGCTAAGTTGCTAAGGCTGACCTTGAACTTGGAATCTTCCTGCCTCAGCCTCCCAAGTCAAATTTAACTGGGAGTACAAGCA